AATGCTGACTGTATTTAGAAGGTCCACTGAACTCGCGTGGCCGGGATTAATGTACTTTCATCTTATCCACCGGCGCCTCTAAGTGCTAGTATCGGTGCGAACTAAAGTTCATCCGCTTAGCTCGAAACGAAAGACATTTCACTATAAATCCGCTTGCAATAAGCTGCCAGAGTAGCCAGGCTTGCCGCTCCCAAGTGGGCTGTAAGAGCCTAGCATAAACCCAGTTTTGGTCCACACAGGCTCGCCAACGCATTCGATTTACTCGATGATTACTGCTACCAAAAAAAAAATATCAAATTATTGACAGATTTAATCACACTTACTTCTCATATCGTCACTATTTCTATAGTAAGGAATGCAAATAGTCAGCATTACATTGACAATGGCGCCGTACTGATTCCATCACCATCATCTTTTTTTGATAGGACACAGATTCTTCTTAATTGACCATGTTTAATCGAATTAACGAGAAACTGGGGACTGATGACAAACAAAGCCTAAAGTGTTATTTGCGACAGTTATTTCAGTGCATGAAGCAGTAGTGAACGAGTGGTAGTTGTGAAGGTGATGACGCAACGTCTTCTCGATTTAACAAGGAGGCAGTTTCTTTACATAGGCTAGCTGTTGATACGATGGCGAATGCTTGACGCAGCAACACCGACAGAAATTCTAGGCGACAAGAGACCCATGGCCAACAGACTCTATGGGCCAACATTTACTTAATGTGACCATTAAGAGCAACTAATCGTGGGATTTGATAAGAGAGATTCATTAAGTTTTGAAAAACAACAGCATCTATGTTAGCAGCGCAAGAGAAAATTATGTAGATCAGAAATATCCGTTTTGCGAACAAATTAGGCGAAATAATATCTATGTTCTGGGCAAGAGACGACGGCATTTTAATTGCAGGCATTTAGGACAACTTAATTTGATTAAAAATCGGTCCTCATCAAGTTCTGGTAGGTAGTATGGTACAGGGTTCTGAACAAACGCTGACACATCCAGTTGGAAAATTGGGTAGATTGCGGTCTGTCCCCTTAAGGCCCGTGCTGAAGCCCGAATGACTACCAGAAATTTTGCCATAAGAGTTTCTCATTATGGCATGCAGAGTATGATGCATTTGTCAAAGACATATGTACCATATAGCAAGTGCTTAGGCTCTCTATAGACAAATGATAATTACCAATTCACTATATGACATAACAACTAAATACGATGCTTTGAAGTAAACTGAGCATCCCGATATGTCCGATTGTCTCCTACTTCATATTTACCCAAAGAACAGTAGTTCGGATAGCTCTCAGAATAATCGTACTGTAACAACTCATCTATTTATTGGAATTGGACCACTGAAGCTTGTTCTATAAAATGTAGGTCTAAGACACGCGAAATAGTGGCAAAGAACAATTGGCTTATTTATTAAGTTTAGTAGTTCTTCAATAAAACACAACGAAAATACCTAGATGGCTTGAGTATTCGTTAATCAGTGCTAGATCAAATCGACCTCTACGTGTTTCACAACCACTAAAAGCCTACTTATATTTATTACTAAAATTCATTGGGTAACTAAAATGATCCAGTCAATTTCTGCTTAATGCAGTTTTATCATTCATCCTCTGTTGAAAATCTCGGGTATTACCAGCTATCAACACTTATATCCGTAGAAAAAGATATTCACTAACAAAAAATAAAAGACTCCGAAGGGAATTTCGTACACGAGATTCTCGATCTGCCCCTAGACCAGGCTAGATCGTGCGATTGCTGTAGCTAAGCTACGTTCCATCCTTAGACTGATCGAATTGTTGTCAGCCCTTCTATTCAAATAGGCAAAGAAATATGCTGGCCTGGTCACTCTTCGATGGATCCGAAACTACCCTCGAAAGTACTCGATATATGCTCAGATAAAAACTACGCATTTTTCTTCGGTGGCAATTGTATGCGATGGCTAACGGTACTTGCTATGATAACAGTAACAACAAGTGCCGATTTTTTTCCAATGTCATGTTTAAGCATACTGAAATAAAGAGTAAATCATCTCCAGCTTAAGCTTGTTACAATACCTTGTCACTTTTCAATAGTTCGCTTGCCCTATCGGCCTTTGAAAGGTACCACTAGAGAATATAGGAACTCAAAGACTCTTAGATATTCAAAACGAGTAATTTTTCCCAGGCAGTTTCGCCTTGAATCTAACAGAAAAGCTTAATGAATGAAATGTTTGGATCTATTACTAGTAGTCACTTTCAACCGACTTGAAATGGTACTAAAGGAAAATACAGAACCTTCACATCAAAAAAAAGCTCAGCTTATCTCTAAAATAATGCAATAATAATGTATGGCTCTAACCGAATTTATGGAGGCAACTTTGCGAGGTTTCTATTGAATGGTTTCGCTATTCATTACGCTATTACGCTACCCCAGGAATGGACAAGGGAAGCAGACTTTGTTGCTAAGCATTGTTGTTGCAGTACTGGAATCACGAGCGCTTGAGTTTTGACGGTAGATGTTTCCGAACAGCACGAAGGGGATCGCGAAGACTTTTATTATTGTTACATGGCAAAATGCGAATGTGAGGTCTTCATGTCATCAAACAAAACAGGCATAATAGAGAACCAAACAAAATAAAAAAAAACAATTGCTTTACCCCATAAATATCGTATGCTATTTCACTTATTGACTATTCCGGTCATGAATTTAGTATTGCGTTGTTTATTAGGTACGAAAATGTAGATCTGCCGTACGCGAAATAAAGACGCGATCTTTTTCCGTGCGATCGAATCCAAGTAAGTACGATATAAATTAAATCTCAGCAGGCCCTGTTACCCTCATTTCAAATTTGATGTATGGCTGAAATGATATAACACCTTACCGGCGAGCCATTCATCATATGTATAAGGCCTGTACGTCGCGATAGCGTCTGATCTATTGAATCTGGACGTCGTCTCACTAAACACCATTAGACAGTTAAAAAGAGAAATCTTGATTTCTTTCCCCCTTTGACGTACAGCTGTGGTGGCACGCGGTATATCTTACATGTTGGGTTATCTTTACTAATAGTTCTACAGAAGATCGCTTAAAACGTTTTTCAATTCCACAAAATTCAAACGTATTTAAGAGGACACCCGTGTTTCCATATGGTGGGTTTTCCTATTTGTATTATGATACAGCCTTGAGACTGTTAATAAATAATAATTAAAGCGCACAACTATCGTTAGCCAAAGGTGTAATTTAAAGTCCGTCAAACATTATTGTCCATCTGTGATGTTTGAGGTCTCAGTTTTAGATGAAGGCCTTCTCCTGCATCAAATGTACCCAAGAAATACTATATTTTAGACGTCTTTCGATATGTTCTTATATTAGCTCGTTTTGTAAATATGATTTTTTGTTTACGGACAAAAATAAGGAACGCATCAAAACAAACGGCATTTTTTAATGTTCCAACCCGATATTCAAGCTTTAAGTTATAAAGCAGCTGGCTATCAGCAAATTAAAAAGGTTGAAAAAATCATACTGTAAGCAAACATAGTCTTTGGATCCAAACCAGCTTAAACACATTTAAAGTTCGACTGTAAATCGCAACCCATTTCCCAATCTTATAATCATCATAGGTATTAAATATGAGTTATAAATCAGTGCTGCTGCAAGAAAAATAGTATAAGGGACTGCTTCGTAACCAAGCCTGCCTTCTGCTGTTGTTAATTTATGCAGGACTTTTCAGAATCTGAGGATAATCTTACCAAGTCGTTACGCATAGCTACTTCAAATTTCATATAGGTCCGATTTTTTGCCAGTACGGCTGGCCGGGAGACGTGCATGTTCAGTATAAAACAGCCGGGCTTCTTAGGTGAATCTGACGTTATATTTGTCTTTAATAATTCACTTCACAAACAAGTGCTGATATGACCTATGTATCACGGTCCCTATTACCGAATCAAAGTTAACTTGCCGCAAAATATCACATGAGCCTGCACTTCACTCTATCAGATTGCCGAACTTGACTCTAGCAGAAATGCCAAGCACGTCTTCGTAAGTGCTAACTTCAGCGTCCAAAAAGAACCTATATAAGCATGAGTTTAATATCTTTTAAGGTATTCGCTATAGTATGCCTAAACAGAATCGTTTATGTTCCTCCGCATTAATACGGCAACCACCCATTTTATTTTTCCTGACCTACTAATCACTGTATACCGCTGAATAAGGCACTATCCTATGAGTAAAATTCGATCCCTTACAGGTCCTGCTTACGTCTTATATAGGGATTAATGTGCATTTGACTGAATGTACGTATGCTCTGCCAAGCCACGTTAAATATAATAGTAATGGGGAATGCTTCAGAAACGCAGCTTATAGCTCGGCTGTTAGAAAGTTCGGAGATTTAAGCCGAGTTATCAAGTGTTTGTGGAGGTCGGGAGAGATACAATGTATTCGTTATGTTGCCAGGAATGCCGAACCATTTTCCAAACTTTGGTAGAACATTATTCTGCGCACGGGGCACCTATCAACAAAGGTAAGTGAATACACATAGGGTATTAACACTTCTAAGGGACAAAAACAAGTGCAATGAGTACAATGCACCGTTCTCTTACGGTTCAGTTAGCGGTTGCCTTAAGTGTTAACCAAATAGCGCACATTTGGCCTGATGGGACTCGAAAGGCTCTTATACAATATTTAGTACGAATTTTAGAGCTAAGGATTCCATTGAAGACATGCTATGAAACCGTCTCCAGCTAAACATGTTATAATAAAGTCTTTGTTAACGTTCAAGTTTGATACTTGATATTGGCTGGTTGACGCCAGCTACTCTTTAGTGGGCTTAAATTGCTTCAGGATCAGCTTCTGAGTCTACCTCGCACGTGGTACAACCCTTGGACTCTTTCGGCACTGAGAAAGGGATTACTTATCATCGCGTGGAAAATGGAGAGGGCATCAATGAGAGGGATGGTTGCCGGAAGATTCGGTGTTTTCTTGTGACAAAGCGTCCGGGTACGTCAGAAGGAACTAAACAGAACCCTACAATGGACGCGACATGGAAATGGATACTGACAGAAAGTTGTGACTATGGCCCCTTTTAAGTGAGTTCAGAATGTGCGGATTCGATATGTGCGCAATCTGCTAGTCCTGAAAAAGTGCTAGTTGCTATTGCAAACGTCGACGGCTATGCTATGGCATAACGCACCCTAACGGAAACTAGGGGAAGCGTGTTATCTTTGATCGGGAGGATAAGGCCCGCCTTCCACTCGGAAGTTCCAATTAGTACGACGACCTGATGTCTGAGCGAAAGTTAGGCAGCGACCTATTGGATTTGTGGCGGGATAATGTTGTTATGGACAATGATGTAGCAAACTTTACCGAGAAACAATGTCTGCAACTGGCCCAGGATTATCAGGGTAGGTTTAGCTGGCGGCGTCGCTTGAAGAAATCTTGGAAATCCTGTTACTCTAATTATTCGGTCAAGCCAAAGGATAGCTGTGAAGTTTAACATCGGACAGTGACGGGTCGACGTCCTTTTAATATCATAAAACGAAAGGCTAAAAATGCCAGATAAGTTAGGAGAAATCTCACACTTTATATAATAATTTCTAAAGAGATCTGTTGACGAATACCCCAGGCGATGTATAAAAATTGCTTGACAGATGACGTGAATGTGCCAAGCTTAAAATGGCGTTGTTTTTAATTCCGCCAAACGTGACACACTTGTAGCGGTTGCCTACGACGAATTAACTGCCTGTCCACTTATTTGGGCCTTAAATAGGCACGGAAAAGCTGTTTCAAACAGAAAGAAGAGGAACAACATGCAAACACAATCTGATAGAATTTCTGACACAAAACAAATGGCCAACAAGGTCGAGGTAAAGACTTCGCAGCGAACGTCGGGCTTTAAATGCATCGACAGTTGAATGCTCCTCTTTAACGCTAATTTCTATTACGACTGTAAGGCGGCTCTGTACGGTCCATTTTCTATGGTGAAGCTTGCTACCGGAAGGCACACCTCCAAGTGAATAGTGGGAAATTATATAAGAGACGTTTTGTCACAACGAGTCACTATCTTTGTTTGATAGTTTTACAGAGTTCATGATAACGTACGTCTGATTGTTATGAAAAGGTAACTTACATTACGTATCTAATCTCTAACCTCCCTGTAAAGGCATATGTGTTGTCTTGCCAATTGATAAACCGCTTTTTTGTTGATACAGTTCGACCCGCTGCATAAAAGTCATTAACATTGGATCCACTGCAGGCATCAACGTGATGTTGGATCATAAATTTTCATACATTCTAATTAAATCTTAGAATCTTCTGATTGTCGTCTACAGCGGAACGCGACAACTATCTCGGCTTCTCCACAATACAGAATATGAACATTTTCGAAAAAACGTTGGGCCAGAATCTTTTGCCGGCCAAAAAAAATTACAGATAATGTTGTTAGCGTAATCCTAAATCGTGTAGCAAATCTTGAGTTCTGCGCCTTTGGCTTAGTTCTGAAATTTTCGTAGTTATTCATTATTCCGTATTATTAAATTCGAATTTACGTCTTCTACACTTGGTTATCTTTTTTCGAAAGACGGCACAAACTACATACAAACGATTCATAATTAGAATCTGTGTGAATTTGCAATGAACGGGAATTGGTTTGGAGCGTAAACTTTATTTGTTAATTTATAGGAACATAGTGACATCGTCTTGAAGAGCCGCAGGTAAGCAGGATTCGTTTGGGCGAGTGATGTTTGCCACATTACGCTGATCAAAAAACCGTTGAGAGCTACATTTGTTAGCATTCTATTTAAGCGTCTCACGTTAGATGAAGTTTACTTATTATAACGCCATGTCAATAGGATATCTATTAAACAGTTCCTTATCAAACAAAGTTTTCGCGTTTTCTATCGACGCGGGCTTATCGCAAAGGTGTTCTTATGTGAAGAGTGGGCCGAAGTGCTATTTATATAAGTCTGCTTTTTAAATTTCTCACACCGAAAGCAAACACGCTAATGCTCTTAAATGGCTTCGTGTGAAACGACAACAACAATAAACACTTTTGCCTTAGTTACGTATCTCATTCTCATAGCAGACAGTGATAAACGTATCACACAGCACAAAACATTTCATATAGTAATCATTGTATTATAATATCCGTTCCAGTGATTGGTGAAAGGTAACTTTATATAATTATAGAGTTAGCATATTATTTACATGCTTAAGAATTTCTCTTATGAATTGTCTCGCTGAGTCGGGTGACTGAGTTTTACAAAGGAAAGAACAACGGACTGACGGTCAGCAGCAAGTGGAAGGATATCTATTGAGTCAGCAAAGGGAACCTTAAACGTGATTGCGCGGAAGTTAGAACGGCTGACGGTGCCTGTCGCAGGGAAGAGGTCCTCGACCTTTTAATACCGGTGAATCAAACATGGCGAGACGTATGCTACTTATTTTATCAACAGAAAGCTATCCGTTCGGGGTCGAAGTGTTACCCGTAGAGACTCCGCGGATTTTGACTGGGTTGAACTCCGCTATGTATTCTCAGATACTCACCTCGCTATACGACAAATGGAGATCACGGCACGAGCAGCGACAATACCTTCTAAACAAGAGGAACACTTATTGAGAATGCTAATGACCCAAGAGAAATTGAGTCTCCTCAGTGTCGCAGTTATAGCATAGCGATTAAGAGCTTAAGCTGTCAAGTAAGTGTATCCCGAAGCACTTAATAGTTTAGAACAACAAAAACTAGGTCCGACCAATTGCAACGCGTTCTATACTGATGACCCTTCATCATACTCGCATTAACAACGAGACAAAATCTTCCTAAAATTTCCATGGCCTCCTCCACACGCCCAAGGCCAGTCCGTTACTAATCGGCAACCTCAGCAGATTGGAGGTGTAAAAGGATAAAGGCGTAGTCCACATACGCGATGGCCTTACGCATGCCACCTGCCACGATTTTAGACAGGATGAGATTCACAAAGACGATGAACATTGAAGGCTCAGAATCAACGTTTCAAGTGTTCCAGTATTTACTTCCTCTCGGATGAACTCACTACTGCCAACCTTTACTGCCTATCGTCTTCCAAAGAGGCATTTCTCTCATCAACCGATGGCGATAGGTGTGCACCCTAGACATTCTAATATTTTCGGTTGAAATTAGTTTTTTATTAGAGAGACACCAAAACAGACCTGCCTATTTTTAATGGCCTCTGTGATCTTCTGCTTAAAATGTCTCAGTGCCAGCTCAGTCGACCTGAGTAGGTGAGAAAAATCAAACGCTTTTGAACTATTTGTCAAGTCTGCTAATGACTGGCTTTTTGCAAGCATTGAACAAGCAGTTCATCAAAGATAGCTGGACAGTAATTAGCAGCCCAGATACGTTATCTTTCATTTTTGAATTTTCGCGTCTTTTACTTTATTAGGAAAGGAGCCCGTGGCAACGGATAAGTCGGCTATACAGGGCGAGCACGTGCTGACGCAGGACTTTTCAAAAACTTCTTCAGACCATCACTAGCTCTGCGTATTCATACAGCTTCTCGAACCACCTGAACCTCGAATGCCATGACATAGTTCGGCGTAAACAATGCTCAGGTCGATGGCCGAACATCGCCATGAATTTCAAGGGAACAATAGTACAGCCAACAATGTAATAAGCTGTCTTGGACTGTAGTGTACGCACTCTTTGGTGCCATCTGCATAATCTGTTGACATTGTGCCTAAGACGCCCTAGCCCTAGAATTATCACGGCTAGGGCGTCTTAGGACCGATTTAAAAAAAAAATCGAGCATACTCGCAATAAAGCTGATCACAGAATTCTTCAAAAGTTGAGTTAACATTACTAACGGAACGGGCATCGGTAAAATCGAGATTACTACACTGACATCACGGAGTGACAATACGTTTCTTCAACAGGGTTTGCTTGACAATGCTGCTATTTACCTAAATCGTCTTTTTCACCCTCCGCGCAATAGACTGTTCGTGTTCTTTACAGTCTTTTCGCGAATAACATTCATCTGCGACTTTTCTTTGTTGTGCTTTTGCGGACCATGTGATTTCGTCCTTGACTAGAACAGAGGCCTGCTGCTTAACCTGATTTCAATGGCATGCTTTCGATAAAGTTGCTGCCTGATAGAAATATACCAGAAAAAAAACGCCAATTAGGGTGCCAGCGTTGCCGTTTTCTCTTTCTTCTGCGCCTAACCTTCGCCTGCCTTAGCAGGGGCCTCGATTACTAGCGCTGCCTTAACACAAGTGGCTGCTTAAGACGTTACCTCCCCCACATGGACCCATAGCGTATTAACCGCGTACAATGCAGATGAGCTGGCTTCAAGCAGGAACCTCGTTGAAGATTCACCAATAAATCGTGCAATCGACTGAATCCTCGACTCCCGCTGAAAACTGTGCATGCCCATACTTTTGCCTTTGTCGTGCCAACATATGTGCGCCGAAATTTTCAACTTCTACAGCTGCGGTTACGGGTCGCAACGAGTAACCACAGAGGCAACAACTGCCAATGTTAGCTAGTGAGCCTTATAACAATCCACAAATTCACTGTAACGCGGCCGTCACGTTGAGCGAATAGATAATTATGCCTGTCAAAGTAACAGGTAAAACCAACTGCTTGAGTTCAAATGGAAAGGCACGCGGAAAGCAGAGTATTAATTAGAGTTTGCTATATGATACATCTTGACAGCCCTGCTTCTCAAAAGCAGAGCGGCGTCCGGGTATTGGTCGTCAGAAAGTCTAGGGTCTGCTTTGAAGTCATTTGTTACATGTCTGATGTTTTTAGTTTTAGTTTGATTTGTTACATATACTAGGGAACGTCTAGAATTTGCGTCACTCGATAAAACGGATGTACTCTCTCGCAGAAGGTGAACCTAGCTCTCTTTTATCTGTAAAATAAATATTTCGCTTTCGTAGAAAAAGCAGAAGCTAAGATTGTTTCAGCGAGACGCCGCACCGTAAACGGACCCTGTAGATGCCAGAAATGAAACGTCTCCCAATGTCATGTCCAACAAGTGATTCAAACCGAATATTAAAACAAAATCAAATCGGAGAAAAGGAATCGGTGATAAGCTCTGGATTGAAATAGTTTCATTTACTCCGTCGAAGATTAGACATTTCTGAGACTTCACATAGCTGGGTAATATCGCGTAGGGGGGAATTATTTGCTTCGCCGCTACCGACTTGAGCTATACACATGCGGCGTAAACTGGATCGATAGTCAGGTCCAACGAAAAGCAGAAAAAAACACGAAACGCCTGCTATTGATAGTACAGGACGGACTACTTACCGATACGTGGCAAGTAAACATTTATTTTCTAAGGGCATCGTCCGATAGACGGATTGCGTCAGGATCGGGAAGCTATTCGAAGCAGTATATTACATACGAACTCTTACACATGCG